GGAGGACTGGTTGTGTGCCACAGACAGCAGCAGATACTTGCTAGCAGCTTTATTTTTGTTTTTAATAGATTTTTAAACGTTGGAATAACTTGATCCACAGAAAAGTTGCAAAATAAACAGACTACTGTCTGCCACACAAGATTAGTCTCTTATTCTTGCTCCTTCCCCCTGTCTGCTCTTAGCCTTGCCTTGTTATTTCTCCTGTCCTGACCAGCCTTGTAGCTCCCCCAACTGGCCAAGACAGGTTCCACCGCAGGGCCTTTGCACTGGCTATTCCCCTGTCTGGAAGCTCATTCCTCACCACTTTCTAGCTGGTGTCTCCTAGGTTGAAGCTCAACCCCTATGTCTGCACGGTGTGAGGAGCCCTCTCCCCTCCCTGCCAGTACTGCCCCCCCCCCTGCTGCTCTCAGGGCTTCTCATGAGGTGTCATCTCCTGGTCATTTTATTTGCTCTTGGCTGTTGATTTTGTGCCTTAGTTTGTTTTCCATCTCATCCTCTAGAGCAGGTTGTGCAATAGAAACATAAGGTGGGCCCAGTTTGTAATCACAACATTTCTAGTACTCACATTAAAAAAAAAAATAAAATAGGTGAACGGATGGCATTTCTATGTCTTGTTTGGTGCAACACATCTGCCCCATGTTGTTGCAAAACGTGATCTGCGTCTAGAGGCCCAGCTTTCTCGTGTCCTTCTGTTTACACCAAGTCTTTGAAGCCAGTGACTGTCAAGCACTTACAGCTCGTCTCCACTGGAATTGGCCGTGAGTCAGGTGCTCAAGGTCCCCATGGGGCTGGGGGACAGCAGGTCTGCAGGCCATGCATCCCAGGGCTCAAGAGCTGTCTGTTCTGCTCACCCCTCGCCTTGGGCTCGAGGCCTGGCACGTCTCTGCTCAGTGCACCGTGGCAGTGAGGAAGAGGGGGTATCATGTGCCGGGCTCTGGTGGGCAAGAATGAGGGTGGGGGAGGTGACCTGAGAGCAGCCACCCCAGAGCCCTTGGGAGAGGGGTGCAACTTGGAGGTTCCCAGTGGCAGGAGCCAAACCACCAAGAAGTTGTCCAGGCTGCCTACGCAGGCAGCAGGGGTGGAGCCAGCCGGGGGAGAGGAAGGGAGGGGTTCGGTCCTCCAGGCTGCCTGGCGCGGTGCCAGCAAACCCGCAGGCCCATGACGATGTCACCCAGCCTAAGTTCCCTGGGTGGCACGGCTGCTTCCCAAGCCTTGTGGGTTCTCGTGCCCACATCAGAGCCTAAAGCCACCAGGTGGTTTCGGGTGGAAGTCACAGAAGGGACGTGTACCCTGCAGGGTCACAGAGTCCAGAGCAGGGCCCTGAGGCTGGGGAGCCGGGCTGTCCCTGACTCACAGAAACAGAAGGCCCTTCTCAAGGCCTTTCCAGGCCTCGGCCACTCCACGAGGGGGGACAAATATGCTCCTGATCCACAGTAGAGGGAACTGAGGTTCTGCAGAATTAAGGGATTTGCCTGGAGTTAGTTCCAAGACAGACACAGACCAGAGTCTGAGCCCAGGCTGGAGCTGCCCAGTGAGCTGGGGGGATGGCAGCCACCTCCTCCCCGACCCCCCCCACAGAGGAGGCAGAGCTCAGAGCCCCAGGCCCTTCCAGGTGGTCCAGGTGAGCTGTGGGTATCCAGCCCCAGCAGGTACCCTGTGAGCAGGTACCCTGGCCTCTGCAAGGCACAGCCTCCCTCCAGAGCCTGGACCTTCTTATTCTGCTTCTTTCACGTGGGATCGATTTTGTTTTCTTTTCTTTTTTGGCACTGGGGATTGAACCTAGGGGCACTTAAGCACTGCGTCACATCCCCAGCCCTTTTTATTTTTTATTTTGAGACAGGGCCTCACTAACTTACTTAGGGTCTTGCTAATTTGCTGAGGCTGGCTTTGAACTTGTGATCCTCCTGCCTCTGCCTCCCGAGTTGCTGGGATGACAGGCATGGCCACTGTACCCAGCTATTTGTTTTCTTTAATGGGCTTCCATGTCCTATTCTGAGGTTATTTGGACACAGGCAGGGTATCGTCACCCTCCCTTCCCTCTTGGTTCATTTTTGACTCTTTCTTTGGGGGGAGACACACACACATGCCCGGCCCTCCTCTTCTGAGTCTGGGAGTTCGGGTACACCAGCACTTCTCAAACCTTAATGTGCTTTGTTCTTTTAAAAACCAGACTGTGCTGGGTGCAGTGGCGTGTGCATGTCATCCCAGCTATTCCTGAGGCTCAGGCAGGAGCGTTACAAGTTCAAGGCCAGTCTGGGCAATTTAGGCAGACCTTGTCTCAAAACAGAAAGAACATCCCTGGGTTCAAACCCCTAGTATTGGAAAAAAAACAAAAAAACTAAACCAAAAAAAAAAAAAAAAAAGAGCAGTCTGTGATCAGTGGGTCTGGCAAAGGAACCCAGATACTTCTCTCTAGGAAGTTTCCTGGTGGCTGATGGTCTGTGGACCAGCTTGGGGCCAGGAGGCTGTCCAGCCACCTGCTGCCACTGCCGGCCCAGGCTGGGGAGGCAGTCACAAGAGGGCCAAAGAAGATGTAGACTCATGGCCATTTGCTCCAGCCAACCGTCATCCCAGGTGGACGCTGCTCCTTCTGGGGAGAGAGGGCAGCATGGTGCCTCTGTCCTTGCCCAGTGGGGTGACGTTACTGAGCCAGGAGGCAGCCTTGAAGAACTGTTTTCTGCTGCATTCGGACTCAAAAGCTCTGCTGGTGGCACATTGGCCCATGGGGACAGGCCTTGGAGGGACGGGCTGGCTTCCCAAGGTGCCAGCCATACCCTGCCACCACAATGCTGCCAACTTGGCCCACAGAGGGCAGAAGTACTGAGCCGGGGGGTGGGAGGCAGGGGGCGCCCTGTGGTGAAACCAGTCTCTGTGAACTGGCTCTGGGACTTGGAGGAACCCACCAGCCTCCGTTTCCTCCCTTTCAAGACATTTTGGTGAAATAGTGGATGAGCCTGGTGACGTCCCGAGGCCACGTGTCTCAGACCCCCCAGCTCATGGCTGTCGGGTGGGACTTTGGTGGAGGGGTGTCTGTTCTGCCGCCCTGACTGGCCCACAGGGGAGGGTTTTCCACCGCACCATGGACCCAGCTAAACCAGGGAGATGCATTACCTCCCCTCTGGAGGTCAGGGGTCCGCAGCCCAGCTGGCAACCGCCGGTGGCTGGGCTTTAAAGCCCTGCCCTGTGTTTTGGCTCCCGGGGCTGGGGAGGAGCGGCTGAAGTTTGATACGGCTCTGGGGGCTGGCGGGGGCAAAGGGCTCCAGCCCAGGGAGGGACAAATAGATCGATGGGAAACTGCCGTGACCTTCTGACCTCGGAGATGGCTTCCACCGTCCTTAACATGCCCTAGTAAATATGGGGGTGGGTCTTCCTTCCCTGGGGACGGTGGGGACAGTAAGGTTAGGGGCTGGAGAGGCAACGAAGGCAATGCCAGGGAAGCGGGAGACCTGGGCCAGGCAGCTGGGTGCCCTGCATCCTCCAGAGGGTGGGTCCGAGACGCGGCACTGCACTTTACAGTTTGCACCAGCCCCTCCCCACATGCCTTCCTTGCTGAGGCGGACTCAGGAGCCTGGGCGCAGACTTGGCCTAGGTGTCCCAGCTTGCAGGTGGCGGAGCTTGGAGAGACTTTAAATGGGTTAGTCTAGCTGGGTGGCAAAATCCAATGGGGGTCCTGACAGGTGGGGACGAGGCCCCAGAAGTGGCCAGAGACCAGTGTCACACTTTAAGGAGCCACTGGAGGTCAGCTCCGGTCAGTGGGAGGAGGGGTGGCATAGTTTGAATGTTTGGGTTCCGGAAAGCTCTTGTCGCCTTTGGACTGGGGCGGGGGCGGGGGGAGGGGGGACTTGGACAGGACTTGAGCTTGCGTCCCAACATGGCTCCCAGGCCATTATCCACAGGCCCTGGCGTTGACAGACCTGGGTTCCAGGCCGACTGCCTCCAACTTGCTGTGTGGACGTGGCCCCGCATCTTCCCTCACTCCCGCCTCCCTGGGCGCCCCTCGAGCACTTGAGGTCTGGCGGACAGGCACCCTGGCGAGGCGTGAGCCCAGGCATCCTTCACCCCGTGTCCTCCTGACCAGGCTGCAGAACCCTCCTCCTTCCCGAGGCCTGGGCTGTCCTGGTCCCAGGCTTCTGCCAGGGCACAGGTGCCCACCCAGCCAGTGGGCGTGTGGGAGCTCTGGTCGAGTTCTCCTTGGCTTTTGCCCCCTTCCTGGGTTATGGCAGGTGGTGAGGGAGCCCTCTGTTCACTCTCCTGCTGGAACCAGCATAGGCCCTCAGGGGAGAGACATCCAGAAGCTGGTGGCCTAGGTTCCAGTGGGGCTTTGCCATGGCTCCCTGGGCAAGGGCTGCCCTCTCCTCTCTCTGGGCCTCAGTCTCTCCATTTGCACAGTGATTGGTGTTTGCTAAACGCAACAGGCACAGTTGGGAGCCTGAAAGATGACAGGATTAACCCTGGAGCCCAGGGTGGCGGTGCACACCTGTAATCCCAGCAATTCTGGACGCTGAGGCAAGAGGATCGCTAGCTTGAGGCCAGTCTCAGCAATTTAGTGAGGCCCTAAGCAACTTAGCAAGAGGGAGGCGATCTCGAAATTAAAAATAAACCGGGCTGGGGTTGCAGAGGGCCCCTGAAAGATGACAGGATTAACCTTGGAGCCAGTGTGGGGGGATTTACCTTGGACCCTGTTATGATAAAGCTAGCTTTTTCGCTCTCTCCTGCCTCTTCTCATTGAGTCAGGGACTTGGGCTGGGGTCAATTTGTTCAGCGTGTCTTTAACGCTAATAGATTCACTTTCTTCTTTAAAGTGTGAGCGGAAGACCATTCTTAAATTGTGGTGAAATAAACATGAAATCTACCCTTTCAGCTCTTTTCTTTTTCTGTTTAACATCATTTTATTATTTTTTTTTTTAATTTAAATCACTCCTAACAGAATTGATCCAATTTAGAGCTCATACTTTTAAAAAAGTTAGATTATAGGCAATGACATTTATGGTCATTCGACATACTTTTGGAACACTTTTAATGTGACTAGATGATAGCACTGGAGATACACAGCTCAAGAACACAGGATTTCTGTTTCAGCTCTTTTAAACTGCACAGTTCAGCAATGGTGACCAACTCATTTTTCAACAAAGAAAGCAGAGTCCCTTAAAGGAAAAATAGTAAGTTGGTACTGGTGGTGAGCAGGTCCCTTGTGGGTGACAGATAATAACTTCTGTTCCCTCTGAACTCTTACATCCTGGATGTCCAAAGCCAGGATAAAGCTGGTAAGGGGCTTTTGGACAGTGGTTCTGAGCAGGAGGCCCGGCACTCAGGGCCCGAGCTGTGGCCTCAGGTGTCCTGGGCTTGACCCCAGGCTCCGACTTTCACCAGCTGGGTGGCTTTGGGCAGGTGGTTTTACCTCTGGGCCTGGGAAAGGGGGCTGCCACTCTCTGCTGCAGAAGGTTGGCCTGGACTTCAGAGATGACCACAGGGTGCTTTGAGGAGGTCACTCTTGCCACTATCCACCTTCGCCAGGGCCAAGCAGGGCTGGCCGGGAGGTGCCGCTTCCCACACACCCAGGAAAGAGGAGCTGCCCAATATCAGCTCCTGGGCCATTCCCTCCTCTGCTTCTCTTTCTCTCTAGTGTCCCCAACACAGGCCAGGGCAGAACTCTTCCCCAAAGCTCCCTTTCATTGGGAAGGCTCCCTCCTGACCCGACCGTCCCTGCCCAGTGCTTCCCAGGGCCAGAGACCAGGAGCAGCGCAGGAGATCCTCTTACAGGCAGCGGGGCCTTACCTGCCTCCTCTCTCCCACGGGGCAGGGCTGCACAAAGGGCTCTGTCACTGACCCCTGCGATTGAGTGACAAGACTGTGGGGGTGGGGAGGGGGTGTGGGGGGCTGTGTGGTCCTCTTGTCTTCCTCGGTGGGTCCTGGTCTGGCTGCTCCCCGAGGGCGCCCCTTTGTCCTGGCCTGTCTGTGTCTGCAGCCCAGAAGCCAGGGCTGGGCTCTGCCTGGCCCCAGGAGCCGACCATTGGCCATCGGCTTCCCAGCAATCTGGCCTGGGACGCAGATAAAGCCTCCTTTCAGAGCTGCACACAGGCTGCCAGGAGCCTGGGGGGAGCGCTGGGGTCCGCGGATAGCAGACAAAGCCGTCTTGTTGAGAGGGCTCCGTGGGAGCAGGGACACCAGTCCTGGGGGGGAACCTTCCCCTCAGGGGCTCACCAGGGTGCATGGGGCCAGCTGCTCCAGGAGTGAGGCCGTGAGCCTCGGCGAGGCCCGGGTGCACGAGGGCAGGAGGGTGGGGCTGGGGGCCTGGGATCGCACCGAGCGGGACTCCTGGATTTTGAGGGTGGGAGAGACTGGCCACTGCCTGACCTGGCTTTTCTGAACCCTGAGCGGCACCTCGGCCTTCTGACACCCTTACAGTAACCCACTGGCCGTGTCCTGCTCGTCTCCTGGGCCTCACTGTCTCCTGGGCCTCCAGCCTCTGATGGTGCCGTTCCCGCTGCCCGGAACACCTGTCCCTCAACTTTCCTCAGGCTGTCCCTGCACCCCCCCTTGGAGCCTCCCAAATCTCTCCAAATGCCAGGAGGCCCCGTCATCCCAACACCTAAGCTTGCTCCTCCACCCCCGTCCCCCAGCTCCACGGACAGGGCAGAGTACATAGGATGCGGGCACAGGTGAGTCTTGAATGCCCATGACTGTCTGCCCCAGCTGGTGGCACGAGTCCCTTCCTGAGTCACACGCCAGTGGAAGGAGCCCTGGGCACTGAGCGTGAGTCCCAAAACTCCCCAGGGACTCATCAACCCCAGCCTCCGGCTGGAGTGTGTCACCCTTGGGCCACTTGAACCCCGAGTAAGGACACCCCAGCCCTTCCTTCTGCCTCGGCACACACCCACCACAGTCCCCCCGGGCTGCCCTGGGCCGCTGAGGACGGGCCTCTGTCCTCATGAAGGGCTGGGCAGGGTGGCGAGGCCCAGGGAGGAGCGTGAACACTAGTGCTGGCCGAGCAGGGCCTGCCAGTAGGTGACATGGACATAAGTAGATGAGGCACCAGGGACACACAGCCACACTGGGAGAGTCCGCGTGGCAGCTTCTCCAGCCTCGGCAGTCTGGTCAGCCTGGTCCAGATGGAGAAGCCGCGATTCACAGCAGCTTCATGGCATCTTGACTGAGTGGCCCGCTAGGTCCCTGGGTGGGGGCACTAATGTCATGATCAGTCACAATTGGTGCTTTCCCCACCCCAGGGTCAGGGTGGGGAGAGGCTGGTGGGACAGTTGCCAGGTGTCCATCCTGATTCGAGCTCTTGGTGGACACCAACCATTCCCCATGACAACCCTCTAAGATCAGCACTACATTTGGGCCTGCTTTATTTTTTATTTT